TGGTATGTGGGCAGGTGTAGAGGTTACTGGGGACATCCCCTGGTATGTGGACAGGTGTAGAGGTTACTGGGGACATCCCCTGGTATGTGGACAGGTGTAGAGGTTACTGGGGACATCCCCTGGTAAGTGGGGCAGGTGTTGAGGTTACCAGGGACATCCCCTGGTATGTGGGCAGGTGTAGAGGTTACTGGGGACATCCCCTGGTATGTGGGCAGGTGTAGAGGTTACTGGGGACATCCCCTGGTATGTGGGCAGGTGTAGAGGTTACTGGGGACATCCCCTGGTATGTGGGCAGGTGTAGAGGTTACTGGGGACATCCCCTGGTATGTGGGCAGGTGTAGAGGTTACCTGGGACATCCCCTGGTATGTGGGCAGGTGTAGAGGTTACCGGAGACATCCCCCTGGTATGTGGGCAGGTGTAGAGGTTACCAAGGACATTTCCTGGTATGTGGACAGGTGTAGAGGTACCTTCCTCTGCTCTCTGGTGTTCTGTTATTCCTGTACTTTCTCCATGATCTTGTACTTATAAGTCAAATCAAATCAAATGTATACTCAGGTAAAAGTACACACATACAAGATGAGTTACAAACATAATGTTGGATTTCTAGATAGAGCCAGTACATACTATGCTTGAAGCCACTAATACGCGCAGCGTTTCCGGCAAGGTGTGGGGAAAAACACTTAAACTAAAACTTAATAGTAATTAAGATCAAAGGATAAATTGAGTTAAAAAGGGAGAAGCAACTGGCGGAAATCAGTACTTATACAAGTTGGTCAACAAACTATATTGTTTGAAAATAGCAAGACATGGGTTGACATTTAGGGGGCAAGGTAGGTTACATGGAGTTTATTAGGTAGTACTTGGTTCTTCTCTCAAACTCGCTGAGAGAGGTACAGCCTTTGACGTGGTTGGGAAGGTCATTCCACATTCTGGGTTCCTTGATTTGTAGAGCATTTCTAGCTTGGTTAAGTTGCACTCTTGGAATATCAAATAGGTATTTGTTTCTGGTGTGGTGCCCATAGGTTCTGTCACAACCTTCTGTGTAATGTTTGGGCAGCAAACATTACATGGGTCTGTAATGTAAATAATTACATAAGTCTGAAGCTATATTGGCAAGAGTTTAAGTATATTGTGTTTAGCTAGATAAAAGTAAAGCTTCTTGACGATTAATTTTTCAAATGTTTTTGACAAGGGTGGCATAATTTAACGAGGGGGGATGAATGTTTTACGAAGAATATTTTACGAAGTCATTAATATCAGTCAACGGATGACAAAGTACTAATGCAGCTCCCTTCAAGAGTATAGTGTATAGTGTAAGAGTATGATGACATTATGTCTGCCTATTGCCTTTGTTGAGTCCTCCAAGGGAGGTCTTCGTCAGTAACTATTTCATCCCACGCTGCCTCTGGCCTCCAGTCGTGATCCAAGCCCTCCGTCTCCTCTCTAAAGATCTCCTCGAGCGCCCCCTCGATGTTTTACGCGAGTTTCCCCTTCGTCGTAAACCTACAATCGTCGTTTTCCTTCTTACCACGGCTTCGTAATGTGTGTGTGATTGGCGGTGGTTATGGTAATTGGTGGTGACTGTTGGTGATGTAGGTGGTGGTGGTGGTGGTGACGGCGGCGGGGCGGTGTAGTGGTTGATGGTGGTTGGGGGTGGGTGGGGCGTCACTGGTGGAGGCTCGCCAGTCTGCCGGCGACGTGGGAGGAGACAAGACGTAGCTCCCAGCTCCCATGCGACACTCCCTCCCACCCCAACTTCACTCTCCCTTGAAACACCGTCGCCTCCCACCACCACCACCACCCCCACGCCTATCTCCCTGCACCCTCCTCCTCCTCCTCCCATGCAACAGTAGTGGGGTGTCCCCTCCGCTGATGGAAGAGGAGGAACACTAGAGCAGCAACACTAGGAACGGAGTTTTCCTGGATTGTGTTGCGGTTTTGTGCGGCTCGTGTGAAGTGGTGGAGACGGAAGCGCCCCCCTCTCCCACCTCTCACATTATCACAGGTAAGTGACCCCCTCTCAAGGATCCTCAACCACTCTCCTGCACTCCTCTACCTTCAACACCTCCCCCACCACAGCCTGTGTTGGAGGTGGCCTGTGTTGGGGGTGTCCTGTGTTGGGGGTGTCCTGTGTTGGGGGTGTCCTGTGTTGGGGGTGTCCTGTGTTGGGTGAGTGTCCTGTGTTGGGGTGTCCTGTGTTGGGGGTGTCCTGTGTTGGGGGTGTCCTGTGTTGGGTGAGTGTCCTGTGTTGGGTGAGTGTCCTGTGTTGGGGTGTCCTGTGTTGGGTGAGTGTCCTGTGTTGGGTGAGTGTCCTGTGTTGGGGTGTCCTGTGTTGGGGGTGTCCTGTGTTGGGTGAGTGTCCTGTGTTGGGTGAGTGTCCTGTGTTGGGGTGTCCTGTGTTGGGGGTGTCCTGTGTTGGGGGTGTCCTGTGTTGGGTGAGTGTCCTGTGTTGGGTGAGTGTCCTGTGTTGGGGTGTCCTGTGTTGGGTGAGTGTCCTGTGTTGGGTGAGTGTCCTGTGTTGGGGTGTCCTGTGTTGGGGTTGCCCTGTGTTGGGGGCGTCCTGTGTTGGTGTGTCCTGTGTTGGGGGTGTCCTGTATTGGGGTGTCCTGTGTTGGGGGTGTCCTGTGTTGGGGGTGTCCTGTGTTGGGTGAGTGTCCTGTGTTGGGGTGTCCTGTGTTGGGGTGTCCTGTGTTGGGGTGTCCTGTGTTGGGGTGTCCTGTGTTGGGGTGTCCTGTGTTGGGGTGTCCTGTGTTGGGGTTGCCCTGTGTTGGGGGCGTCCTGTGTTGGTGTGTCCTGTGTTGGGGGTGTCCTGTGTTGAGGTGTCCTGTGTTGGGGTGTCCTGTGTTGGGGTTGCCCTGTGTTGGGGGCGTCCTGTGTTGGTGTGTCTTGTGTTGGGGGTGTCCTGTGTTGAGGTGTCCTGTGTTGGGGTGTCCTGTATTGGGGTGTCCTGTGTTGGGGGTGTCCTGTGTTGGGGTTGCCCTGTGTTGGGGGCGTCCTCTGTTGGTGTGTCTTGTGTTGGGGGTGTCCTGTGTTGAGGTGTCCTGTGTTGGGGTGTCCTGTGTTGGGGGTGTCCTGTGTTGGTGTGTGTCTTGTGTTGGGGGTGTCCTGTGTTGGTGTGTCTTGTGTTGGTGTGTCCTGTGTTGGGGGTGTCCTGTGTTGAGATGTCCTGTGTTGGGGTGTCCTGTGTTGGGGTGTCCTGTGTTGGTGTGTGTCTTGTGTTGGGGTGTCCTGTGTTGGGTGAGTGTCCTGTGTTGGTGTGTCCTGTGTTGGGGTGTCCTGTGTTGGGTGAGTGTCCTGTGTTGGGTGAGTGTCCTGTGTTGGGTGAGTGTCCTGTGTTGGGGGTGTCCTGTGTTGGTGTGTCCTGTGTTGGTGTGTCCTGTGTTGGGGGTGTCCTGTGTTGGTGTGTCCTGTGTTGGGGGTGTCCTGTGTTGGTGTGTCCTGTGTTGGTGTGTCCTGTGTTGGGGGTGTATTAAGAAGATGTTGTAAGTCTTACAAATGAGAAGAAATTTGGAAAGTTGGAAGAGAAAATGTATATATTAATTTATTTAAATGTATTGCCAAAGATTCTCAATGATTAACGAGGATTTTCACCGATTGACGCGACAACGAACATCATCATGCGTTGATGAGTACTCTTAAACAGTTTACGAGCATGAAAACTTCTCAATCAACTGTTGTTATTGTTATAAACAGCCTCCTGATGCTTCGGAGCTCATTAACTGTTTGATAATTGGAAACAAAGCCGCCAAAGATTGAGAAAAGATGTACAGGTTCGTATTAAGGACTGAGAAGGAGGAGGAGGAACAAGAGAGGCGGCGATAAACAATGGAATAAGAAAGACTTGGGACAATAATATTCTCCGGTGTAATCTGAAGGGTCAATATGCCGGGATTAAAGTTGGCGCCGTCCGGGGGTCCTTCCTCCTCGCTAGTAGTGTCCGCCAACTACTTAAAGCCTAACGTCAATATTTCGCGGCAGACAAAAGTCCGAACACTTGACTGCAATGGTGTTGGTCTTGGTGTGTTGTTGACCTTTAAGCTTACGGCCTTACGTCCAGGGGCTTATATAACATTTATTTAAGTTTTTTTTTTTTTTACTTTTAGTTTTAATATTTAGATTTAATTCAATAGGCTTATAGAATTAAGCTTTTCAATTTTAGGTATTTTTTTTTTAGGCTGAGATCGAAAATTTCAGGCTTTGTATTGATTTTTGTAAGTGTTTAAGGTATTATAGACTTTTCTTGCTTAACTTTAAGGATTAAAATTGTCAAATATAAAATATATATTTGGTTATAATACGAACGCTGACAGTTAATGGCCGTTAATGGCCGTTAATGGCATACCATTATTTAAACACTATTTGCAAGGCTGCAAATTGCTTTCCCGCTCGTCTCTTCAAGTTTGATCTTGCAATTCTCCTAGCGCTCATAGAGCCTATATAGTGAGCCTATACGGAGTGTAGGGCGAGTGTCTAACCACTTGGATATATCGGGGGATCGAACCCGGACTCTGCAAGAAGCGAGGTGAGAATATAACCGCGGGTATAGTGCCTGGGTTTACCCCCCCCCCCAAATGCTCACGTGTAAGTACTCTTGAAGGAGAATTTAATTCCCTTAGAACATAATCCTTAAATTATTGGATCCTTGTTCCCAGGAATAGTGAATGTTGATGTATATTATGGCGGGCAAAGTCTGGAGCCGACCATGGCATCGGGGTGTCTGGAGGCCACCAGACACCCCGATGTCTGGGGGTGTCTGGTCGCCTGGGGTGTCTTTGTGTATCCTCCAGACATAGGAGTGTCTGGAGGATACACTTCCATTGTTTGTCGTGTACCAGTTAGGGTGTGCCGGCTTGGGTACCCTGGTGTTTATCCTGATCCTTGTTTATTATCATCTTGGGAAGATTGTGTCCTCTGTAACACTTGTCAGTTTTGTCTCCGTGACTACAATGAAGTCTGGTTCGTCCTCCGACATTTCTTGTAGCTGGACCTCTTTGTAAGTTCATCTACGTCTATGTTTATGGCTTTTATAACTCCCCTTGGCAGGCTTGATGTGAGCTTGGCTGGGCGGCACTTGCGGCTCTGAAAGAAGGATAGATGTAGCACGAGCTGGTCGCCTTCTCCTGCGCCATTTAGTGGCAGTGTCGTCGAGGCCTCTACTGAAGAGAGCACGACTGAGTGATCCTGTAAACACACATCATATTGTACTGTGTTGTGGTCATCTTGTGACGTTCTCGGGGCCCCCTTGTGCTTTACTGAACATATTTTCTTCTCCGAGAGTGATGGCTTCCTTCCTGTGATCCCTTAACATGTATACATCATAGTATACCTCGCTGATAATCGCCCTTTCACTGCTAGTATACATTTCCCTAGGGGTTATAATCTCTTAAGACCGGCGGTATAGCAGTCACTGTGTCGTGTTTTTCGTGATAATATTGGTCAGCGGACCAATATTTTCGTCCTGTGTGCTCTAGTCTGTGTCGGCTTCGGTGGACGCCTCAGGAATCCTAGAGGGTGCAGTAGTACCTCAAGTGGCAATCCTTTTGACCTTGTCGTGGCCTAGTGGTTTAGAGCGTGTGTCTGGGAACCCCCAATGCATAGGTTCGAACCCTTACCACGGCTTCTATGGATTGTATCTCTTAGCAGTCTCCACTGCCTGCTGCTGGGTTTATTTCTAGAGACTAACATCGCCCGTTTCTGTTCCCTTCTCTCAGTTGATGATAATCTTCCCCACCTGTTCTTTATCTGGCGCAGAGTTTCTGCCCCAAAACACTGCCTGGCTCAGGGGTGGGGGGGAGGAGAGTTGTGGGGTAAGAGAAAGGTGGGGGGAGGAATGGTGGGGTGGGGGAGGTAGGGAAGGGAAAAATGGGAGTTTGGGAAGGGAAAGGTGGAGTGGGAAGGAGTAGTAAGAGTTAAGCAGTGTTCAATGGTCACTCTTGTCTTCACGTTACTTGTTGGAAGTAAAAGACATTGGTTTTTAAAGTAGATTATATCAGGGGGGGGAGTATTGGGTCTTGCTCTTCCTCATCCTCCTCCTTCTCCTCCTCCATTCTTTACTCCTCTACTCCTCCAGCTGGTCTTCCTCTCAGCTCCTCCAAACCGCCAATTCTCTTCTTCACACATAATTTTAATTTCGGTTGAAGCTGAAGTCTGAAACGGAATGAGGTTTTTGATGTGATGTTAATTATCTTGGAAGATGTTCCATCCCAGCTTCTGTGACCTCTTTAACCTTAGATGGCTGTGACCTCTTTTGACCTTTACTATACAGTAACTGGGGGGCTGTTTCTGCACTCATGCTTCCTGGGTTAAGCTTGAGCTCTTGGGTCCTAACATTTAACCTTCAATTTGTTTTTCGTACATGTTTCTGAATATTTGGGTTGAGTAATATCATATCTTCACTTGACCTCGAATATGGAGTCGGCGACCCATGTTAATCTTACCTCAAAAATAAAGTTATATATTTGTAAAATAAGAATAAAATGTCAAGAGTTAAGACGCCATGCTAATTGCAATTGTTTGGGTTGTTTAAGACGTATTGTTGTCTTATACAATCCCAAGCAATCACAATCAGCATGGCGTGAGTTGCGGTCAGGTGTGAAATTATCCTACATCGTCGTCTCAGCTGGCGGAGGAAACTTGGATAGTGTTGGCGGCAATAATTATGGTAAACTGTCATTAAGACTATCCCTCCTCCTCCTCCTGCTTAAGTTATAACGTTCACAAGTCTCGCTCCAAACCTCGCTGAAGTTTAATCTCTGGCTGGAACATTCTCGGCTCTGTCCGTCGTGTGAGACGGTGTACAAGAAGACGGTTATTGTACAAGAATGTAACAATGTGTACGACGACGCGCGGAGCTTCCGTCATCTCCGCCAGGGTGCCGCGCCACCCCAAGGTAACTAAGGGTTCCGCAAATAAAAAAAATAGGAATAAATAGGCTAATTCTAATCATGTGAAAATTGATTTTCAAGTCATTGTTGAGTTTGATTTTTCTAGTTTAACCGGAATCAAGAGCATATACAGAAATCGTGTCCTTTCAGTTGATAATGAAATCCATATGTGTGTGTTTATCTGAAGTATGACCCGGAATTATTTTTCGGGTACAAAGGATGAGAAACGCCGCTGGTGGCCCCCTACAGTAACCCTGGGTGTGGCCACCAGCTGGATGGGTGGTTACGTGGACTGGTGAGAGTAAAGGTATTAAATAGGTACTCAGATAATTAAACAATTATTGTGAGGTCATCTGGCAACCGACTCATTTATTTAATATTATTGAATTAATTTAACTCAACTTGTTCGTAAAGTCCATTTGAAATAAATAAATACAAGAATACTCAAATAAATTAGTTAATAGTCAACAAATAAACGAATAAGACCTTTGAGAGTCAAGTCACTATCTAATACTCATATTTCCTGAGCCCTTAGGAATGTGTTGCCCCTTTGACAAACCGCAAACCTATTATTTTTATAGTATGTAACTTTCTTTACCAGCGCCCTGCCCTTAACAACTTACACTTGCTAAGTTTATCTACAATATTTACCAAGTTTGGGAACAGTATGGGGCACTCCCCAACTTGTACCGGACGAACTTGAGCAAGATATGGCGGCCAAAGCTCAGTTGAAAGTGCTTTTATGGTGGCCAGAAGGGACCGTGTTTATAAAGTATTGCTTTGAATTATTACCGTTTTTATTATTTAATATTATTTATACGTTATTATAATTTTCATGATCATGTTGTGGTGATAATACTACTGCCGCCACTAATGATACAGACGAGATAGCAACCTTATCCTAGTGACCCCTTCAAACCGTGGGAGCGACTCACAAGGATTTTTTTATTATTATTTTCTACCACAGACGTGGCCACACACATTTACAATGCTAACCAGCAAATATGCATTTTATTCTGTCCTCCATGGACAGAGTTAGAGATATGTTAAACATTCAATTCGGTGATTTGTTGATCAATCAGCTACATAAGCTCGGTAAGATAAGCTCACACGGATACAAGGAGCAATGTTTTGACGAAGGAGAAACTAGGAAGTACCAAGAACTAGTGGAAGGTGGCTTAGGGAGGGGAGGAAGTGAGAGGATGCCAGAGAGAGGAAGGGAGAGGTGTGTGAGAGGGCAGCAGGTGTGTGAGAGGCAGCAAGAGAGTGTCCGAGCACGCCGTTGCCTCTTACCTAGGAAGTAGTAACGTCAGGCCGCTGAGAGCCTCGCCAGGCCGACCTTTAACTGGAGGGAAAACCAACCTTAAAACTGGAGGGAAACTGACCTAAAACTGGAGTGGAAACGAGACTTAAACTGGAGGCAGAGGGGTCCTTAAACTGGAGGAAGATGGGCCTTGAATTGGAGGTGGACGGGCCTTTTACTGGAAGTAGATGGACTTAAAACTAGAGGCGTAGGACTTGTGAATTCAGGTACAAGTGGTCCTGCTGGTCCTGGGACGACTGGGATCCCACCCTGCTGGACCTGGGACGACTGGGACCCCGTCCTGCTGGTCCTGGGACGACTGGGATCCCACCCTGCTGGTCCTGGGACGACTGGGACCCCGTCCTGCTGGCCCTGGGACGACTGGGATCCCACCCTGCTGGTCCTGGGACGACTGGGACCCCGTCCTGCTGGTCCTGGGACGACTGGGATCCCACCCTGCTGGTCCTGGGACGACTGGGATCCCACCCTGCTGGCCCTGGGACGACTGGGATCCCACCCTGCTGGCCCTGGGACGACTGAGATCCCACCCTGCTGGCCCTGGGACGACTGGGATCCCGTCCTGCTGGTCCTGGGACGACTGAGATCCCACCCTGCTGGCCCTGGGACGACTGGGATCCCACCCTGCTGGTCCTGGGACGAATGGGATCCCGTTCTACTGGTCCTGGGACGACTGGGATCCCGTCCTGCTGGTCCTGGGACGACTGGGATCCCGTCCTGCTGGTCCTGGGACGACTGGTATCCCACCCTGCTGGTCCTGGGACGACTGAGATCCCACCCTGTTGGTCCTGGGACGACTGGGATCCCGTCCCGCTGGTCCTGGGACGACTGGGATCCCGTCCTGCTGGTCCTGGGACGACTGGGATCCCACCCTGCTGGTCCTGGGACGACTGAGATCCCACCCTGCTGGCCCTGGGACGACTGGGATCCCACCCTGCTGGTCCTGGGACGACTGGGATCTCACCCTGCTGGTCCTGGGACGACTGGGATCCCTCCCTGCTGGTCCTGGGACGACTGGGATCCCTCCCTGCTGGTCCTGGGACGACTGGGATCCCACCCTGCTGGTCCTGGGACGACTGGGATCCCTCCCTGCTGGTCCTGGGACGACTGGGACCCCGTCCTGCTAGTCCTGGGACGACTGGGACCCCGTCCTGCTGGTCCTGGGACGACTGGGATCCCTCCACCCACCTGGAATAAAACACTCTTGTCTTTATGTCCCAGACTCTAAGGAAAGGGGGACTGGGACATAGCCACTATGGCCAGAAACAGGAGCGTTTTGGTCAGAATTCTTTAAATTTTCGAGGCAAACTCGAAAGTTTGAGCCGGAAATTGAGGAAGGCGGTGGGAACTTGAAGTGCTTCAGCTCAGGACTGGGGCTTGGAGGCAAGAATTTCAAGTGTGGAAAATGTGGCGTGGGCTGGAAACTGAGGTGTGGCTGGAAACTGAGGTGGTGTGGATTAAAACAGAAGAAGGTGTGGCTGGAGATGGTGTGGCTGGAGATGGTGTGGCTGGAAGCACACACCTTACGTCGCTCCAAAGTAAATAAGGAATTCCATGTAATTGAGAGATGAGGAACGATCATAACATACAAGAGGTAGGTTTTTTTTTTTCACCCTCATCTTGTAAGCTTGTGTTCCTCTCTCTCTCTCTCTCTCTCTCTCTCTCTCTCTCTCTCTCTCTCTCTCATCTCTCTCTCTCTCTCTCTCTCTCTCCTCTCTCTCTCTCTCTCTCTCTCTCTCTCTCATCTCTCTCTCTCTCTCTCTCTCTCTCTCTCTCTCTCTCTCTCTCTCTCTCTCTCTCTCTCTCTCTCTCTCTCTCTCTCTCATCTCAACCCCTTTCCATCCCTTTCCTTCCCATCTCGGCACATCTTCTACCTGTATGAGTTTCTTTTTATTGATAAAGATAATCGATATGAAACTGAAAGGTGATCCTGTAGGATTTTAGAGTTTGTCGCCGTCTGTCGTGTTCAGCCTGCACCTGTCGTCCCCTGTCGTCCCCTGCTGTGATCATAATCCTACTCCCTCACCTCTCCCTCGCCTCTCCCTCACCTCTCCCTCACCTCTCCCTCACCTCTCCCTCATAACCCAAGGGTCTCGCACGAGTAGCAGAATGACAGGTGTTCAATTAATGGAAATAATCCCTTTATAGCTTGAAAGTCCCGGTGTTTCCCCAGAGACGCCCACGGTGATTGTTGGGTGAGTGGTGATTGTTGGGCGAGTGGTGATTGTTGGGTGAGTGGTGACTGTTGGGCGAGTGGTGGTTGTTGGGTGAGTGGTGATTGTTGGGTGAGTGGTGATTGTTGGGTGAGTGGTGATTGTTGGGCGAGTGGTGATTGTTGGGTGAGTGGTGACTGTTGGGCGAGTGGTGGTTGTTGGGTGAGTGGTGATTGTTGGGTGAGTGGTGATTGTTGGGTGAGTGGTGATTGTTGGGTGAGTGGTGATTGTTGGGTGAGTGGTGATTGTTGGGTGAGTGATGATTGTTGGGTGAGTGATGATTGTTGGGTGAGTGGTGATTGTTGGGTGAGTGGTGATTGTTGGGTGAGTGGTGATTGTTGGGCGAGTGGTGGTTGTTGGGTGAGTGGTGATTGTTGGGTGAGTGGTGATTGTTGGGCGAGTGATGATTGTTGGGTGAGTGATGATTGTTGAGTG